AAAATGAAAGGAAAGAAATAATAGGTAAGAGAGCCAAGCAACTTCTGAGGAACCACTGAACGGAATAGATGCTGTGAAGAACCAATATCAGGGAGCATAACTGAGGTCTAACCTGAACTTACTGAAACAAATATCCCTGGAAAAACAATACATCTTGTTTAACCACCTTACGTCCATGGCCGTTTGTGAACGGCCAGATGGACGTCTGCTCAGAGCGGGAGGGCGTCCTGCCCCTCCCCCCTCTCGTGTGCGCGCTGAGAGGGAAAACCGTCAGCATGTAAACAGCCAGCGATGGCTGTTTACATACAAGCGGTCAGGCGTCTCTAGAGACAACACTATGGCCTTCAAGTGGTTAAAGAGAAAAAAATATAAAAAAAAGCAAATTAGGGTTTTCCGACAGCAGAGCTGAGGAAAAGGCGTTTAACCTCCTAGGACATTGAGGCAAATCTGAGGCATGATGGAGGTAGCTTAAGGGTATTTGTATAGCCCACGTGTCATGACTATTGTACAATCCAGTGTCCCTCAATGGATGATAAAGAAAATCTAGATATATCAGCAATTATTATGGTTAAGTTATGTAGATTTATTACTTTAACATTAGTTTTATTAGTTCAACATATCATATGTATGACATGGGTGTTTAGTGGATTGTCTAAGTAGAAATCATCCCATCTGGGAACAGTTTCAAAAAAGAAACTTGTATTTAATGAATGGTTTATTGCTAAAGCTCCAGTACATACCTTTGTTGTCTTTGTACTCCCCACGCTCCTATTATCAATAAATCTGTTGGTACCCAATCAACTGTTTAAAATTATTACAACCCTAAATCCAAAAAAGTTGGGACATTGTAAAATCTACATAAAAACAGAATGCAATGATTTACAAATCTCATAAACCCATATTTAATTCACAATAGAAAATAGAAAACATATCAAATGTTTACACGGAGAAGGTTATTCACTAACGAGCCAAAGGATTAAGCCGAACCTTCGGCTAAACCTTCGGCTCGTTTCGGCTGTGGGAAGCCTTCAGGTCAGTTGAACCGAAAGTCTGCTGTACGGGCTATTCACAATAGCCCGTACAGCAGCCGAAGAGCTCACCCAAGCCTAACACATACAGCCGAAGACGGTTCTCCCTGCAAAATGTAAATAATATTTTTTAAAACACAGCGTAGGGTCCCCTTCCAAACCATACCAGACCCTTAGGGTCTGGTATGAATGTTAGGAGGGACCCCCCGTTAAAAAAAAAATTTAAAAAACATAATGGGGTCAATTCACAAAGCTCAGCGTTATGAGAGTAGAAGTTAATTTATCTATCCTTATTTTACCACTCTTTATTTTACTGGCTGAAACATGCAATTCACAAAAGCCGGAATCGTTAATGCACACGCAGTTAGTTGATTTCCCCCCAAAAGCCCGCTGACCTGGCCCGAACTGCCACACCTGTCAAAATTAACAATTTGACAGGTCGCGGCTAATTGTCAACAGATAGGCGGAGCTAGCGGTGACAAATTGCTATTGAAAGGTCCTAGACGAATGGCAACAAATGGGCAGAGCTGGCTGACTCCATTTGTTGTCATTTGGCCGGGACCTTTCAATAGCGATTTCACAGGTCACGGCCGAATGACAACAAATGGGCAGAGCCAGCAGTAATGTCACCACTAGCTCCGCCTATCTGTTCACTTTGACAGGTGCGGGAGTTTTGACAGATGTTGGATCGGCTGAGGCGAACGTGTTTTTCACTTCGGTTCAGCTGAACTGTTCGGCTGAACCGAAGTAAAGTGAAAGGGAACCGAAGGCAGCCAATGTACAGCTGTTTTCAGCCGTATGGGGCTGAAGTGAATAGCCGAACGAGAATCAGCTCCCTTCACTTAGTGTCGGTTATAAGCCCTTGAGAAAATGTACCATTTTAAAAAAAAAATAAGGTAATTTTGAAATTGGTGGCAGCAACATGTCTTCAAAAAAGTTGGGAGAGTGCCAGGTTTACCAAGGTGTAGCATCCCCTCTTAAAACGTCTGGGAGCTGAGGAGTTGCTGGAGTTTTGGGAGAAGAATGTTGCCCCATTCTTGCCTGATATAAGATTTTAACCGCTCAACAGTCCTGGGTCTTCTTTCTCATATTTTTTATTTCAAGTGGCACATATTTTCAATTGGTAAAAGGTCTGGACTGCAGGCAGGCCAGTTAAGCACCCGGGCTCTTTTACTATGAAGCCATGCTGTTGTCATAGATGCAGTATGTGGTTTAGCATTGTCCTGCAGTAATATAAAAGGCCTTCCCTGAAAAAGACGTCATCTGGATGTGAGCATATGCTGCTCCAAAACCTGGATATATCTTTCAGCATTGATGGTGCTTTCCCAGATGTGCAAGCTGCCCATTATATACGTACAAATGTACCCCCATACCATCAGAGATGCAGGCTTTTGAACTGACCGCTGATAACAAGCTGGAAGGTCCCTCTCCTCTTTAGTCTGAAGGACGAGGTGCCCATGGTTGCCAAAAAAAGTTAAAATTTCGTTTCGTCTGACCACGGAAGAATTTTCCACTTCGCAATAGACCATTTTAAATGAGCTCTGGCCCTGAGAAGACGGTGGCGTTTCTAGATCATGTTCAGATATGGCTTCTTCTTTGCATGATAGAGCCTTAACTTGCATTCTTTGGTGGCCCAATGAACTGTGTTCACAGACAGTGATTTTTGGAAGCATTCCTGAGCCCATGCAGTGATGTCCATCACAGAATCATGCCTGTTTTTAATGCAGTGCTGTCTGAGGGCCCAGGCATCACAGGCATCCAATACTGCATTTCAGCTTTGTGCACAGAGACTTCTCCAGATTCTTGGAATCTTTTGATGATATTATGTACTGTAGATGATGATATATTTACAGTCTTTGCAATTTTAAGTTGAGGAACATTATTCTGAAATTGTTCAACAATTTTTAGACGTAGCTTTTCACAGATTGGTGAACCTTTGCCCATCTTTACTTCTGAGACAATCTGACTCCCTAAGATGCTCTTTTATACCCAATTATGTAACTGACCTGTTGCCAATTAACCTAATTAGTTGCAAAATGTTCTTCCAGCTCTCCATGTTAGTACCACTTACTTTTTGTTGCCCTGTCCCAATTTTTTTGAGACATTCAATTTTAAAATGACCTTATTTTTCTTTAAATGATACATTTTCTCAGTTTAAACATTTGATATGTTTTCTACTTTCCATTGTGCATAAAATATGGGATTATGAGATTTGAAAATCAATGCATTCTGTTTTTATGTAGATTTTACACAATGTCCCCAAATTTTTAGAATTGGAGTTGTAATTAACCCCAAAGCTGCCAATCACCGACCCCTAAAGAAAACCCCCAGCATTTAAAGCCCTCTACATTAAAGCCTTGAATTCCCAACCCACTATACCTGACCCCCTAAATTTACCCTCCTTAACTTAGACCCTCTACCCTTAAGCCTCTAAATGTAACCCCAATTCAAATTCTCTTAAATTTAACACCCTTAACCTAACCCCTGTTTCTTAATTCCTGTAAACACAATAGGAAATGAGAGAAAAACTGTGTTTATATAAAATTTTTGTGAATATACAGTATTCATGCATGTAAATTTCCTACCCTACTGTGGTTATAAACGGCACTATGGGAGAGGTAACCGAGGTCACTCCAGCCATTGTGGACCTTGGCCATACGAGATACGTAAATGAAAAAAAAAAAATCTTAATCTAAATATCTTCTAGTATAATCTCATTCATCTAATGCTTACTGCAGCAGTGGACTGTGACCAGTTAGATCCAGACTTTGTTGCAGGTGTGGTGACAGCAGTTCCTATATAAATAAAGCATGAAAACAGTGTTTGCAGGCTTTATGTATACTTCTTCGGAAGCACTGACATTTTCTGATAGACATGTGCAAAACAAAAAAATTTGTTTTCAGACAGAACTTAAAGAAACGAAAAAAAATGTCATTCGTTTTGTCAAAGGAAACACATTTTTATGTTGTTTTGGATTCGGAGGCAACAAGCCTCCGAATCTGAAACCGCACACTGAAACCGCAGAACGAGTGGCGGCCATATCGGCGGCGCCATTTTAGAGTAGATCTTGGTATATACCAAGATGGCGGTGCCCTAATGTTCGAGCGCCGCCATCTCGGCTTATACCTAGATCTACTCCAAAATGGCGGCGCGCATGTGCAGAAAGCGCTGCCGTGCCGATACGGCCACCGCTTGTTCTGCATGTGACATCACCGCCATGAATAATGCAGTCTCCTGTCTACTACAGTTATTGTTGTTGAAGTCAATAGTTAGGGTGTCCCTATAAGAGCACAGTGTGGACAGCTGCTCCAAGGAGATGAAGCCCCAATCCCATGAGGTTCTAACCTTTACTTCTTCTCATTGGCCCCCTGTGGTCCAACATTATATTTTACACATACTAAAACTTCATTGCACTTCCCATGCCTTTCCTCGTTCTTCTCTAACTTTTGAGCCTTGAGAAGGCTTAAGAAGATTGAAAAAGTAAAATTTCACCCAAGTCGAAGGTTTTTCCAGGGGGACTCCATGCCTTGCAGCAACGTCTCTGATCACTGGGGTTAAAACTGAAATAGTAACATATTATTCTAGCTCTCAGATACAACCCTAAAAGTGAACTTTTCTTTCAGGCTTTAACATTATTAGTGATTCTGTTGGAAATTGCTTTTCTTGAAACCTGGCTTTATAAAAGTTAATTTATTCTAGCAATCGCTGAGCAAAGTCATGTTCATTTTTTATTAAACACCATTAATTATAATTCTCCTTGCATACTTACTGCTCTTTTCATACACTTAACAATGCTGCTCATTTTGCATTATTGTCATTTGCAGAAATATTTACTCTAGGAAAACAAATATGGTATTGCGAAAAAGATTGACTTGAAATCTGCTAGTGTGACAAGCTTAACAAGAGCTCTGTGTATTGCAGGAGGATTAGGAAGCAATAAAACAGCCAGTAATTTTTAATGAGCCTTCTTACCATGAGCTGCTCGATAGGCACACCCCAGGCAGGCAGAGTTAGCGGTGGCAATGGTGTGCACTGGAGCATTGAATATGTCTGATAAGACCTTCACATGTAAGAGAAGTAAGAAAATTAAATCAGTTTGCATCATAAAATGTACCACTGATGTAAGACGCAAAATACCTCTTGTTTTTATTATCAGCTTACATACAGAATATCTGTCTGCTGTCACTATGTACAGGTACTTACCTTGTAATAAGTTCCCATTGTCTGCTGAGGACTGGCACAGCATTTCCGGTTCTCTTTTTATGAAGTCTCACCTTTATCCGTAGTGAGTGCTGCCTTTGTTTGCTGGAGAACTAGCCCCCTAGCTTCAGTGTGGCAGCAGGAAGATTGGTGCTGCCAACTCTCTAAATCACTACTCCAGGCAAAATAATAATAATAATAAAAAAAATAGAATAGTCCCCCAACAAAAAAACAGCTCAGGCTGCAGTATTCCCCCTCACTCAAGCACTGTCCCCCACAATAATCCTCTTCCACCACAAGATGTCCTTCTTGGTTCATTGTGTCATTCAACCTGTAAAACATACTGTGAGCGCAGGGTGTCATTGGCATGCCCCCTGGAGGGTGGGAGAGCATCCCCACAGCACCCTGCACTTACAGTGTAATGATTCAGAAAGTCCTCTTCCATTTAGCTGAAGAGACCCCCGCGCTTCAGGTGATGGCCTGAAGACATCTGAAAAAAAGGTTAATATTAAAACATAAAAACATTCTTGCTGGGAGTGGCCTCTGGATGTAAGGGGGACCACTGGGAATGGGAGAGGAAGTCGCAGTTTCTGTTGAAGTCTTCAGCTGCAACATATAAGGGTTGATGTACTATAGTGTAGACCACATGTGTGAAACTGAAGGCCCAGGGGCCGAATCCGGCCCACCAGGCCATTTCCTAGACTTCTACTTTCAGATCTAGGTATTAAGTTATTACTAAAACCAGTGATAATTGAATGCAGAGGCAATTATGATAAAGATTAGATACATTTACATAGTCATACAGATACCTTTGAGGGCAACCATAATGTTGATGCGGCCCATGACTAATTTGAGTTTGACACCCCTGGTGTAGAGGATTTTCACTTCGTGTCTGTGCCAACCTATTCCACTATGCCAGTGATTTACTAAAAGAGAAGTTAATTTTCACTTTGCAAAAGTGGATAATCACTAATCTTGGTAAACAAGGTAAAGTTATGTTCACTTAAATATTCAAATCTTGCTTTTCTTTTAAATTCCCTTGTACATTATTAGGTGTTCTAAATGAACACAGCTTCAACATTCACTTCATAGTAGAATGGGTGGGCACACACAAAGTTTGAGCTATCTGCTGTAACAGCTATTGTATGAAAATGTGATACAGTGCATAGTCATGGTTAATATGCATTGGGTAAAGACAAGCAAGGATTGGCTGCAAATTAGCCTTGGGTTTTTTCAAGGTGCCACAAAATACATACTGCTACAGGTGTGAAGTATAAATATAAAACCTTCTGTATTTCTTATAACAACCTAAAAACATATTAAGATACATATAAAGGCCATGTCAAATAGTCAATACACAGTAGATATGGGATGAGCAACCATATACATATCTAATACCCCCATTCAAAAAAATAGGGTATGTGGCAGGTTATTCTGAGGTCCGACACGTTTCGCACCAAGTGGCTTCTTCAGGAACCTCACATACGTATCCCAAAACTGCTGTGGGTCCAAAATATGGCCAAGAAATGGGTTCCAAACACAGGGAAAAGAAGGGAGGAGGAGGCAGGAGGGAATGAAGATCTCCCGGGGAGGCGGGCAAGTCACGCTGTCACTGAGGGGGCTTTCCAGGGAGACCAAAGACAGACCCAGTGCACATCACCAAAGGAGCATATCACTCCAATTCCAAACTACACAGGAGGGGGGAGAGAGGTTTATCTCCATAGACGGCTCCCAGTGAGGGTAATGGAGAATCAAACAATAATCCTCTTGAAGTTGTATAATATATGTGAATCAGCCACTATGAAAAAATAAATGAAAAGACAGAGGGTGCCAGTCCATGTATAAATAGTTCTAGTGAGAGCGATCTCTGGCTCCCAACTCGATCTCTAGCATTCTCTTACTAGAGAAAAAAATGGGACTGAGTGTGCCTGGGTCTAGAAGGTTGAGTTGAGTTGGGAAGGCATTATACTCTTTTGACCTGCAAATACCTTATTTTCATTCATCTGCTACATCACATGTTTCTGCTGTAACCTGCTGCATTCAATAAAGATCTTTGTGGATGAAAAGGTATTTGGTGAGTTGAACTACTGTATCTAATAAAGATTGTCCGCGGTGATTGTATCTGCTTATACAGGCCAGGCATAGAGTTCTCAGGAAGGGATAAATCACGAATTCAACAATTGGAGTCAGAATAAGCTACAAGTGCTATTTTCCCATTGTGAATTTAAAGTAGGTGAGCACATTTAGTTATATCCCATTTTTAATAGAAAGATAAGAGCTGAAACCTTTACATCATGTTGTGTGTGTATATTTTGACATTGCTTGACTTTGATATGGATAACATATTATTATTTGTTCAATTACATCCAGAGGTAAGGGTTACACATAGTGGGCAGTGCATATATCTTATATAAAATATATTGTCAGTCCCATTGGTGTCAGTAAGGAATGTATCCTTCTCCTTCTCTGCAACTATATGGCAGTAAAAAGGTATAAATCTTTAACATTTTAATGGAGCTGTATGTATAGTTTGACAGGTGAGAAACCAGCTTTCCAAATAGCACCTAATTCCCTTCAAGCCAGAGATTTGATTTTGTAATAAAACATTGTACCATTTACCATTAAATCTCAGGTGCTTTGCCTCTACTTTATGTCCTCCAAAAGAATGAGGCATCTTACTTGGGATTAATACCCCATTAGACAATCAGGAGTTATTGATAAGGAATATATCCTGTTTCAGTCTTTGCATCTTCTGTGCACTAATCAGCAAACATTTGGAAGGTAAAGTGCAAAAACATATTTAAAAATAGTGAAATTAAAGACATTTTGCACTTTAATGGAAACATTATGTATTATTTAAAATAAGAGGCTGAAATCACTATTTATAACCAGTTAACTTCTGTTCCTTGGCACTTCCACAGCTTACAAAAAGCTTTATAGTCTAAGAAGTAACTGTTAGTGGAATTAAAGGAGACCTATGGGGTACACCTTTTTTTGCATATTTAGTTTTCTTATGATACACGAGTACATTTTGCAAAGTACTCATGTAATAAAAAATGCACCATAGGCTTACATTTATGTGTAATATACTGGGGGCGGGGCTAAGCTCAGTACAGAGAAGCGATCCCGACAATATTGTCCGGATACCCCATAGTTCTCCTTTAAAGCATGTGAATGTGACTGGCAGTTATGAGATTTCAAAAGATCTCCATGCTTCCATGTGAGCAGCCTAAATCTATATAAAATTAAGACTTTACTAAATTTTGATGAACCATAGAACATCCTGATCTAGCGCAAACACAACTGCCTCAAAAAATAGCAACAAATTTGAATGAGTACAGCCTACCTTCAGTGAAAACAGCATGTCAAAACACTTGAAGTTCCAGAGATACAGGCTCCTAAATTAATATGCAAATATTGACTTCTCCTGGAAAAGTCAAGATTGTCCCTACCTCTTTCCACCTCCTGAGCCCCTCTTTGGGTCCTTTGACATGATGAACATGCTCATTCAACAATAGGAAGGCCTTTGTGATAAGAAGAGGCAGGCTAAACTCAATCTATACAGAAAAAAATATGCAGTTTTCACAGAAGATAAGTTCTGCTTATGCACGTTTTCCTCATCTACTCAGCTTAAGTTGACTGGCTTTGTAACAGGTTTACTTTAAAGGACCACTATTCAGAATTTTTTTTTTATAACTGGATGCAATTAATGCATGTAAGGTAACCTCCACTTAATCATTCAGCTTGAATTGCCTGATGTGATAGAGCTACTTAAAGTGACAATAAACTCAAGAGTTAAATCTTAAAAATACATTCAGTACCTTAACTATTTAAAAAATGTAATCTATTTGTGTATCACTCCACTGTAGATCCTCAAATCCTCTCTGAATTGGTGCTGACACTGTCCTTCCTTCTGGAGGGTGGCTACTTTTGTTCTCCATGCTCCTTGTGTGTGTTCTAAAGTAGCCACCACTCCAAGCTCACTCCCCTGATGGACCACAATCTCATTTTTAGGTTACTAATTTGTACTGAAATTATAGTCCATAATGAGAACGAGCTTGGAGTCGTAGCTACTTTATAACATACACAGAGACCATGGGCAACAAAAGTAGCCACCCTCCAGAAGGAAGGACCGTGTCAGCAGCAATTCAGAGATGATTGGGGGCTCTACAGCCAAGTGATACACAAAAAAGATTCAGTTTTGTTAATAGTTAACGTACTTGAATGTATTTTTAAAGAACCCAAAATCATTTTTATACTGTAGGAAAAATTATTTTTATTTACAGCTCAAAGGACACATGCTTCTTTTTCTGGAATAAGCTATACATCACAAGTTTACACAGACAACATCACATTTTATTTTTTTGAAAACAGTTTTTCAGTGTGCTTGTCAGCTGTGGGAAAAGTTATAATGCCAAAATAAAATGTCTGCAACCTCAAGGCAATATTCAGCCAGGGAAGACAACTCCACAAGTGACATGACATCATTACTTCCCTCTGGCGAAAGTAGCTGTGCATTATTACTTGTATTATAAAAAACATCAGGTGAGAATTAGGACTGTGATGTTGCTAGCAGTGAGCTGGTACTTTTTGGCTTTCCACACTGAGAGACTGTGATGTTTAATGATTTATCAAAGAGTATAAATGTACCTGTAAAATATCCTGATTACTTGAAGCACCACCTGTGGCCAGTACACATGTCTGTGGCACTAGAAAAAATAAAGAAACAAGAATCTTACATATCTGCAACATTAAAATAAGTGATAAAGCCTTTAACTGGGTGAAACGCATCAAAGAGAGGTGGATCTGAGGCGGGACTCTGTGATGCTGTGCTACCTGCAATAAATATTTTATTTCAGAGTTTTGGAGCTGTGTTTGTGTATGCCAGGGCGAGGGCACGCCCAGCCGGAGTGAACCCATTACTTCCCCTGCTAATGCCGTGGAGGAACAGTGTCAGTGTTTTATGGATCTGATAAGTGAGTCTTATTTAAAGGGAAACTATATCCTTTATATTTTTTCACTGGTTTTGTGCTTTTTATTTGGGCTTTTAAAGTGAATCTGTCATTATACTGTAGTCTGCACATACTGTATCACAATATACAGCAGCAGCATGATTTTTCAGCCACTTATCATTAAAAGCTGTCTTTGAGTTCCAGCAAGGGACTTTGCCCAGGCTAGCCTTTCTTAACCGTTCAACCACAGAGGAACCGTTGCAAAAATTCTCTATAGGTTGAACTTGATGGACATGTGTCTTTTTTCAACCCGACTAACTATGTAATTTTCAGGACATAGGATCGGTAAGTTCTAAATATTAGAATGGTTATAAATAATAAATTAATACAAATGTGGCATATTTAGCGTATTTGACATGCGGAGCATATAGTTTCAACACTCTTCTGCCCCTTAGATTGGAAGGAGGGCCTCTTTACATATGTGGTCAATGAGAGAAGGACCTCCTTTAGATTGGTAGTCAGTGAGAAGTCCCTTACACTGGGTGTCATTTTAGTTCCCCTAACACGGATACTCAGTGGTAAGAATGGTACAGATAGCTAAAATGATCACTTGTACCAGTGGAAAAGGTTTTTGGATACATGTATTACTTGTCCCAAGCTTCTATATATGAGTGAGTTCCACCTTACCTGATAGGACACATGCCATGTCCGATAGTTAAAGGGCAGTATTGTGGGTATCTTTCTTATCCCTTGCGGCTCTATCATATAGTACTAAAAGGGTAGGTATTTGTGGGCATCGAAGGCATAAATTGTTTTTAATTGGCTGATATCCACACAGTCAAATACTTTGTAACAATATTCTATCCCCCATCTTTCCTGTGGAAGTGAACAGCGTTCATGGAATGTGTTCATCACATTCTCAACCAGTACAGCCCATCATTTTACAATATCACGATTTGCTATTGTTTGTATTGTTCGATTTCATAAAGGATGGATGTCTGGGGGAGGATTATTGTTGTTTACATGCTGAAGTAAAGAAGTATACCAGACATTTTAATTCATATTGTAGTTTGGTAGCAATTAAATATTTACGAATTTTAATGACACAACTTGATTTAACTATAGTAAAGTCCCTTTAGTAAAGACCATTTGTTTGAGTGCAAGTTCTTCTGCTGTTATTTGCCTCTACATTTTGTTATCTGTACAGGTTAGGAAAGCTGCACAATTATAAATCTCCTGATTTCCACACATACATCCTAATGATAATCACAGGTTTTTTTTCATACTTTGAAATCCTCTTCACAACAGTGACAATGATCTCAAATAAAGATGAAAGCATTGTTCTCAGTTCATAAAGATACTTAGAAGTTAAAGATAATTTGAGCTCTAAAGGAGTAGCACTTTTCTGCAGTGTGGATCCAGGAAAGCTCTGTAATGTTCTAGAAGGATTAAAGGAAATCCTGCAGGGAAGAAATTAAGCATCTGCTCATTAGTTAATCTATGAAATCAGACATTTAAGCAACCCCAAGCTGCACTCGAAGCAAGTGTAAAGCCCTAAAGTCTCATTTGAATCCAAGGATTGTATTTTTCTAGGGTATACTCAAGATTCCCAGAGCACCACAGCAGATAATGCCGCATTATGCAAAATTAAAGAGCTGCTAGGAAAAAAAGAAATGGTCTAGCACAAACTTACACAAAACAGGTTTTATCTAAATTCTGTTATAATGGAATGTTGCCTGCTTGTTCTTGTGAACTTCTAAGGCTAAATGCAACTATTTAGAGATTCAGTCCATCCAAGAACAATATTTTAATTACACAAGGTGACTGTTTTGTTGAGTCAGCCCCAGACTTATATACATTGTATACTCCAAAACATCTCTCTTGACATTGTCCCAGCACATTGTTCCAGCACCTTCTGCTACATTCTCCATGATATAAAAAAATACAAAAAAGGAAATTGTGACAACATGTAATCATGGTAATAAGTGGGCAACGTATAGAAAGCTGTGGCAATAAATGGGCAACTAAAGGGCAGTGGTGACGATAAGTGAACAAAAAAGGCAATTGTGGCAATCTGGGAAAAATGCAGGCACTTGTAACACCACATGGGCAACAAATAAGCAACTTTTACCCCTGCATCTGGCAGAACTGTCACATGTGCTCTCAGAAGAGGTAGGAAGAGGCACAATGTACTTGATCATCAGGTACTGGACTACAGTACATATTAGCTGTTATTAGACTCCAGTCAAATAATGTGAAAATGATAGTTGCTTGCATTTATGGATTTCATCAGTTCAGACTTTACATTAAACCTTTGCACATATTATAAAGACCTTTTATAAGATGGTTTACACATGCACACATTCTTTTAGTATTTCACAACATGTAACAAGGACAGGGAAACTGTTTCCCTTGTCAGTGGGACACAAAACAAAAATGAAAAGTGCCATAGTGAAACATAGTTACATAGTTACATAGTATTTGGGGTTGAATAAAGACATAAGTCCATCAAGTCCAACCCATATAGGTCCGCGCATCATCTCTTTCTTAGGAGTACTTGTACCCCTGTATATTACGGTCCCTCAGGAAATCATCCAAGAGTTTCTTGAACAATTCCACACTCCTGGCTGAAATCACTGCCGATGGCAGTGAGTTCCAGACCCTAACGGCTCGTACCGTGAAGAACCCCCTTCGCCCCTTGTGCTGGAATTTGTTTTCCACCAATTTTAGGTGGTGGCCTCTATTTTTTGTAACGGAGTTAATCTTAAAGAGTTTGTTGCCAATGTTGCTGTCGCCATTGAACATCTTGTACATGAAAATCATATCCCCCCTTAATCTCCTTACTTCCAACGTGAACATGTTTAAATTTAGTAGCCTTGTCTCATAGCTCTGGTCCTCCATTCCCCTAATTAGTTTAGTTGCCCTCCGCTGGACCCTCTCCAGATCAAGGACATCTTTTCTTAATACTGGTGACCAAAACTGGACCGCGTACTCCAGATGAGGCCGAACCAATGCTCTATAAAGTGGCACAATTATAGACTTGTCTCTGCAGTACATCCCCTTCTTAATACAGGACAAGACCCTACTTGCTTTGTTTACAGCAGCCTGGCACTGCAAACTACCCTTTAGTTTGTGGTCTACAATGACCCCCAAGTCTTTTTCTATTTCTGACTTCCCTAGTGGCATACCCATAATTGCATAACCCATTTGCTTGTTTTTATTTCCAAAGTGCATTACTTTGCATTTATCGACATTAAACCTCATCTGCCATATATTCGCCCACTCCCCTATTTTATCCAGGCCCTCCTGTAATGCTATACTGTCTACGTCCGTTTCTAATACCCTCCCTATTTTTGTATCGTCTGCAAACACTGAAATATGGCTATTCACACCCTCCCCGATATCATTAATAAACAGGTTAAACAATATGTGTCCCAGCACAGAGCCCTGAGGCACACTGCTTATTACACTAGCCCAGTCTGAAAAGGTGCCGTTTATAGATACTCTCTGGACCCTTTCCTGTAGCCAGCTCTCTATCCACATACACACCACATCATCTATGCCCATAGCCCTCAGCTTGTGTAGCAAGCGTTTGTGTGGTACCGTATCAAAAGCCTTTGAGAAATCCAGATATACCACATCTACCAGCATCCCTCCATCCATATCTCTACTTACCCCCTCATAAAAGGTTAACAAGTTAGTCAGGCAGGAACGATCTTTCCTGAACCCATGCTGATTGTCATTAACTATCCCATTATCCGGAACAAATTCTACCAAATAGTCCTTAATTATGCCCTCTAGCAGTTTACAAACCACGGATGTTAGACTGACCGGCCTATAGTTCCCAGGTTGGCATCTTGCCCCTTTTTGAATATTGGAACTACCGTGGCCTTCCGCCAATCACTTGGGACTCTACCAGTCATTATTGAGTCTTTAAAAATGAGGAATAATGGTCTTGTTATAACCTCACTTAGTTCCTTAAGTCCCTTGGGGTGCAGGTTATCTGGACCGACTGCTTTATTTGCATTTAGTAGTTTAAGTCTTTGTCGTATCCCGGTTTCCATCAACCACTGGGGTATATTTTGTGTTGAACTATGTGTTTTATCACGTACATCAAACCCGATGTCCTCCTGAGAGCATACTGAGGAGAAAAAAGTATTCAGCGCCTCGACCCTCTCCTTGTCATTTGTGACTATCTTTCCGCTTTTCGTTCTTTATTGGGCCTATCTGCTCCTTTCTCACCTTTTTACTGTTAATATATTGGTAGAATTTTTTAGGGTCTTTTTTACTAACTGTGGCGATGTGCTTTTCGCACTCAATTTTGGCTGCCCGGATTACTAGTTTACATTTTTTGTTACATTCTTTGTCGTTATGGAATGCTAATGCCGTCCCTTCCATCTTATATTTTATAAATGCCTCCCTCTTGTCCTTGACGTGTTGTTTTACAGTTTTATTCAGCCATATAGGTTTAGTCTTTGTTCTTTTGCTTTTGCTACCCAAAGGTATACACCTTGAAATAGCCATATGTAATGGCGCCAGCTTACCGTGCGATCAGGAAGCTGTGCGACAAGTGATGACCCGTCTCCTGGATTCCTGATTGGCCGGGAAGCCGGCTCCATGCTGATTGGCCAGGGAATCGGCTTTCCCAGCAAACCCACACGAGACGGGAGTGCCC